ATGATCCGGATATGGTGTGTAGTTAGTTTGTAGTTCGTTTTTTTTTTTTAACTGCTTCCTATGCCATTTTTTTAATCATGCAGCTGATTCTGGGAAATTATGGTCTCAGCTATGACCAAAGCAAACTACAAATGGCGGTTTGGGCCATATTAGCAGCACCGCTGATCATGTCCAACGATTTGGCCGCGGTACGTCCTGAAATCAAAGCGATTTTGCAAAATCGGTGAGTTTTGTGAATCAAAGCTTATCAATTTCATCTACTCTATATTAAAATATATTTTATCTCCATACAGTGAGATCATTGCGGTGAATCAGGATCCCTTAGGTATTCAGGGTCGTCGTGTGCTTATACAAAAGAATGTTGAAGTTTGGACACGTCCAATTACGCCAAGGAATGCAGCGGGGTAAGTTTGGGGGTACAAAAATAGATGGTATATGAATGGTATGTACGCACATTAGACCGTACCACCTTACAAGCAGACAAAAATAGGTCGCGTACACCGCTGAGTATAAAGTATTTTTGCAAGGCAATTTAGAAAAAAAATATATATATATGGTTTTTGGTAAAATATTCGGCAATAAAATCTCTTTTTTTAAATATGTAGTTCTACTGGAATATTCAAAAAACTTCCTTCGAAAAGTTTAATGATTTTAAGAGAGCTTTAGTTTGTTGACATAAGGGTGTTATGTTAGGGTGGTAGGAGCTGAGATCTGGTGGGTAAGTCTTGAACGAGGTGCTTGAAGTCAATGAAACAAAAAAAAAATCTCCTCGAGACCAGAACATCCATTTATCGTACTTTCAGATCCGGTGGTAAATGCCAATGTAAAAATCGAAATTGTATTGCAAAAATTCTTTAGAACCTGGTTTGTACGTCGAAATTTTTTTTCGGGTACGGTCTAATATACATTCATACAGATTTATGTATTTCTGCTTTTTTCTTAAGGGATTATTCATATGCTGTGGCATTTGTCAACCGCCGCGCAGATGGCGCTCCCTATCCGATCGGTTTTAACCTAAAAGATATGGGATTACGCAGCCAACGAGGCTATGATGTGGTGGTAAGTGAAATATTGTCGTAAATGAACTTTTTAAAATTAATTACTCAAATTATGAATTTTGAATAAGAAAAGTTGAGTTTCGACGAAACCGCTTCAAAAAATAAACACCCTTGAATATTTAATGATTACACTGTACGGCAAAATCAAATTTTTTTTTGGGAATTGAACCAAACCAATTTTTTTAAGAGAAAACCTAAAAATATAGACGTAGTCCTCCTTTTGCTCTTATTTAAATGGTATATAACTTTTTTGTGCATATTGCAGGTGCTATAAGGGGTCAAAGTTCAGGTCTTCGGAAAAATTAAATTCCTTATATTGCAAACAATTTTGAACTGATT